CGCAATTGTTTGTTTGTTAGTAATTATTATGATGCCAAATAAAAATTGTTAGTTGACTCATGTTGGATTATTGCAATGCCAAGTCATTTATATTGTATATTGCTTCGTATCAGATTGTTATGTACTAAATAAGAATAAGTCGTGATTTATAATAAAAAGGTTATCCTCACTACAAAGTTCTGTTCTGAATTTGTTAGTTTTCAAGAGAACATCTTAAAAATTTTTATTTTTGTTTTTATAAATCACATACTTGTGTCAACATTATGTCGCTACAAAATACACCCACTATGTCGAAGGCCTCCAAGAGAAATTTGCGTAAGAAAGAACTACGTACCATAAAAAAAGCTAAGATTAAAAAATCCGATAGCTCAATTGTCAGAGAGGGTATTTCCAATTCTAATGCTAATCATATCGAAGAAAGCACGAACATATTTTACGATCCTTTAAAAGTAGGTTAAATATCTTTTATTACATTTAGTTTTATAGTATAGTCTTCTTAGGGGTACTTTTCGCCTTTTGAGGCAAGTCTAGGATCTGAGTATTCCCTCTCTATATAAAGTTATTTTTTCATCTCGGGCGTGATCATCATCCTTGAAGTAGGGCGTGTGTGAGAAGGAAGGTAACGCAGACTTCATGGGTTTTAAACCCCAAAACCACACCACTGAGAGTGATTCGAATGTATCCACTGAGAAGATTTTATTACTATTCAATATAAAGTATTTTTTGTATATCAATTTACTGGTTTTTTGAATATATATTTTCTAGCACAAGACTCAAAGCGAGACCCGTCTATCTAAGAGCAAATCACGTGAATATATTCTATCTTACTGGAAATCCAAAGATTTCATGGCAAGCGATCTTAAGTCAAAGAATGATTTGCAATCCATTTTTTTAATAGATCCAAAGATCACCTTTTTTGAAAAATTTGCAGAAAGAAGACGGCAATGAGAAGTTATTAAGATGCTACTGAACTGAGAATTGCTTCCATTGGATGCTGTAAAGCAAAACACCTTTTCCCTTAAATATGACGCTCTTTCCAAATTTGACCTAAAAAATATTTGGAGCGAATTATATAATTCAGAAAGATCACTACCACTCCAAACCACACAAATTATTCATCCTATTTTAACTATCTTTCAAATACCTGCTGAATTTATTGATTTACTAGAATCAGAAATTTTTGATCACACCAAACCTACAAATAAAAATTCTGATTTAGCATGGAAGCAATTTGCTTTGTGGGCATTTTTTGCAATCAGTCCTTCTATTGTAAAGCAGATTCGTAACCATTGTCAGTGCCTCTGGTCTAAGATAAAGCATGCACATCAGCAACATGTAAAAGCAGGAAAAGTTTCGCTAAAGCAAACAACAATATCTGAGGCACTTTGTCAAAATTTAAAAGACAAGCAAATTATTGCTAGTGTATTAACTGATAAGATGTCTGAGGAAGATGTCAATATAAAAGGGTATCACCATATATTCGACCCACAATGTTTTAAGAATGCTCTTGGGAAAATAATGGTAGATTTATACACTTTTCAGAGTTCTAGGGTCACCAAAAGTGCAAAGATAGTAGTGGAACAATACTATGTTCACATGCTTGATAATCTGTCTCACCAGTCCAAAGAATTTCGAAAGAATTAGTCGAGCATTTTGGTGCTTTTACGGGCAATAACAATGAACCTTATACAACATCAAATACTGCCTCATCTCACAATCGGGGTCATTTAAAATGTGTTCAAGGATTAATACAAGGCCTTCAACCATTATCTGATGCTGTTAATGGTTATATTAAGGAAATATATCCGGCCTTGTATACAAAAATGAGAAAACTTGATCTTGGACTAAACGTCCCTAAATCGTTTGGAGGCTTTCCTACTATAGCAATTAATTTCAATGCTATTTGCTAGTTCTATCGGGATCTAAAAGACCACTACAATTCACTCTGTGTTGTGTGCCCACTTAGAACATTTGAAGGTGGACAATTAGTATTTCCTGAGTTAAAACTAATAATACATGCAAAACAGGAGCAAGCTATTGCTTTTAGATCGAACATTTTAGTTCACGGGAATCTTCTGATTCTCGCAGGCATATGTCATAGTATCGTATTTTTTATATATGGCACTATGATTAAACAAAATAGAAAATTTGGCTCCCTATTTTGCGATTTAGATTCAGATAACGAAATGGGTATAAACATAAATAGTGATAAAAAGAAGGTAAGGTTACTGCAAAAAAATAGATATTCTTCCAAGTCTGGTTCTAAATCCTTACCAAAATTAAAAAACTCGAGATGAGCTAACCTTGGTGAGTGTTAAATTTTCAAGTTTGGATCTAGAAATATCTAGTGTGTATAATACTATATTTGTCTCAAACTGCTTAAAGATCTAGAACCTACAAAGCGAGGCTTGTTAGCGAAATACAAGAAAAAATAAATATTAAATCATAATTTAGCGTATGATTAACATTCTTCTTAATGTAGTAATGAACTCGATTGAGTGCACAGGCCCGATTGCATATCTGCGGGGTAAACTTGAATGATAATGATTTCAGCTATTTTTATATATATTACAAAGAGTCCAACATGTGTATTTCCTGATGACACAAAAATGAATTGCGATATTCATTAGTATATAGTTATTAAATCAAATAGGTCTAAATCTCTAAATACGATATAAATCACATAATCTCTAAAAACACTATAATACGTTAAATTACTTAATCATTAAATATGGTCTATACAGATAATTGTCCAGTTTTAAATGATATCGAGTGGAGGGATAACTGCCAATTTCCAGTAATTCGTGATGGGGAAACACCATCTAATTGGAAGAACCGAATCTGGAATCAATTAGTGAATTATAGAAATAACAATAAATTGACTGATTACAATAAGCGATATCTTATTGCCAGAAAGATGGAATCTACAGAAAGATTCAGTTATCGTATGGCGGTTAAAGTGAATATTGCTATATGTTATAGCTATGATCAGTTTGTTTATATTGATAAAAGAGTAGGATATGAATTATATCACAATTATAAGATGGAGGAACATTGGCGTACAAATTGTACTGGAAATAGACATTGTGATATATATTTCAAAGAGTATATAGAGCTTAAACAAAAACCAGAAGTTAAAAGCGATATTTACACAAGGTTAGCTATTTATCGAT